TATCCACTAACGGCCCTTTTATACAGTAAAATCAACATAAACTTAGTGAAAATAACCACTGATAAGGAGAATAGATCAACAATACACAGTTCTGTGTAATACCTTTAAATCTTGTCATGTTTAACTTTGTGTACAGAGTAGACTACCAAAAAATGTATATACTACAATGAGACAGTTTGAAGAGAAAAAATGTCACGCTGCCCGATAAGCTTGGAGCACAGTGATATCAAATTAACAGAAGCGATTATTTAATAAACACTAGTGTCTAGTGTGTGAAAACAGGACAACAGAAATGTATAATAGTCCTTTAAACTCACCAGAACCGTAACGAACGTCGTGAGAGTGCAGTCTGACGTTGTGTTTTATATTCAAAAGTTTAATAACTGATCCGCATGTAACAAACCTCAGTTCCGACCCGACAGAGAGTCCACATATGCAGGAGAATAACAGTACAAACTTTAGTAGAAAGCAATGAAAATAACCCCAGTTTAAGGTACCCATTCCTACAGTACTACTGATCGATGCCTGTTTGAGATTTGCATCAGGTTTATGCTACGTCATTACAGTGGTACAGTATCCATGTAAAGTCATCATCACAGCGCCCCTAGCGATGTGGATGAATAACTACCATAGTAAACATGTTTCTGTGCTTTCCGTTTTTTCAGCTAAATGTCCCTGGTTTATACTTTGTGTACGAGCCAATAATTTTTTGTTAATAATTAAAAAAAGTTTTTATTTTTATTTTGTGCATAATCTAGCTAAGTTTATTTTACTTTATTGTTTGATATCTGTTATGAGATTGTGTTCTTTGGTTATTTAGTCATGTTTCTTTGTTTTTTTGTTAGTTATGATTAATTTGGGTGAATTATTTTTATAAATAGTCTTTTTATAAATAGGACCAGCATGCATCTGGGTGGGCGTATGTTTTTTTGTTGTTTTTTTTTTTTTTATCAGCGCAAGACAGGCATGGAGGAAATGATTGTCTTTTTCTGTTTGCTTGCCTGAGGAGAAAATAAACAGAGAAAATTGAAGGACTTTACCTGGAAAAAAAATTTCTTTTGCCTGCGTAAAATTAGTCCATGGTGCATCTGTGGCCTTTGTGGATTTCCACCTTTTTTGTGTCATCAAAGCTGGGCCACAACACTTTGATATATTATACTTAAAGTGAAAAAGTCCAGTTATTCTAAAATAAGATCCAGACTGCAGCCCCATGTAGGCCTACTACGGTACATGATATTGTCCTTGTAGACTTTTAAGGGTGACTGGTTTTCCACCCTGAAAGTTACAAGCTCTGTATAAGTGTTAAAACTTATAGGACCCCAGGAAGAATAGCTGTCAGATTACTGACAGCTTATGGGGATCCAAATAAATAAACAAATAAACTCCTTGCTTGAAACAATTTCATTTAACCAAAGTCATTGTAAAATATCAAGGCAAATATAATCTCAGTCAGTACAAGAACTGTTGATTGGATTATGAATAATCTAAGAAAAAAAACATTCATTAAGATGTTATCTGTCTTGTTGAACAGCTCATTTGTTCATTTTTGTCCATATATTTTTTAAGGATTTGTAGTATAATTTGTATTTGTTATAGACTTTAAGAAAGCGCAGTAGCTGCTGACATCTGCATGACAGTTGCATAGAAATAAAAAGAAATAGATTGATAGGTTTGGATTTATTTAACTTTTCCTACCTTTCCTTTTTTTTTATTAACGGTTGCAAGTGTTTTTATAGGCTACCTTTGGGAACAAAGTAAAAACGAAAATACTAACAAAACAAAAAAAAATACCATTCCACTTTGACCTTTAGCAATAAACAGGTTGATTTGGATGAAAATGTTTTAATATAATTGAAGCTGCGAATATGTTGGCTTCTAAAACGTTTTTTTTTTTTTTTTTTTTTTTTCAATAATTCAACCTAAACCAAACAAAACTTTGGTTCCTCAAATTCAGATATGCCAATATTTATTTGTATCTTTTTTTATTTGGTGAGATTTCTCCTTTAAACTCCATGACTTGAACATAGACTCCTCTTAAGTACGCTGGAATATGTTGTAATGTGATTAAAATGTGTTGGCTACTTTTTCCAGTGTGTCTAATATACTTACTTTGTGATGTTTCTCCAAAGGTCACTTTAATATTCATAAATAATATTAGTAATAGTAATTAATATGCTCAGCTTCCTGGCCCTATTTATATGAATATAATGTAGTGTATAACTCATCATGAAGGTCAAAAACAAATTTAGTAACATATGACAAACTAGCATGCCTCATTAACCTAAATCTTTGTCCCAAGATGCATTTGCAAACTGTTATCCACTTGACTTCCTTATCCCAATATAGCTATATCATACAGTACTTGTTTTTAAATATTGCCACTCTGTTTGAATTGGGAGTGACTTGATGCATATGTAACACTCCCAACTATCGGCCTTATTCCTTAACAGAGAGATGCCTTTACATCCCTTTACTTTTTATACATGCTAAGAATAATAAGGCAAATTCATGCATGTGAGACTTATTCCCAAGGATGAGCCAGATTGATAGTGGTCCACAATTCACTTCTTATTTCTGCTGATTTGTTTTTCAGTAATGTCTCAGAGGGAAATTGTATATGTATATGTTACCTTAAAATACATTCTCAGATGCACCTCCATAGGAAGCTTCAGAATTTATGGAAAAGCAATAAAAATGTTATCAAGATAATTTTTATATTATAATATTCTGGTATTTAGCAAAGAGCAATGTTGATGATAAGTCTGATAAAAGAGGAAAAGTTTACTCAGATTTATTACCAAAAAATGGTTATGCCAAGGAGGTTGTTTTTAGTTGAATTTTTTTGCTTGTTTCTCTGTTTGCCTTTTCGTCTGTGTACAGGACAACGCGAAAATTATGAACGGATGTTAATTACATTTTTACTAAAGGTAAAGAATTTTTATAAAGGATTCTTTAACATTATTTGGCGGAACAAATCATTCCCTCTTAAACCAGAGGGAGGCAGCAGTGACCATTGACAGCTTCAGCATCAGACTCAAAAAAAGTACAGAAGTACAGTATTAATCTGAAGATAGAGGCTGTGTCCAAATGTCCGCCCTATATAGTCCACTATATTGGGATTACGCCATTTAAAATGACTGTCCGAATGTCTAGTGTAAGAAAAAGTGGTGGACTCAAGATTTCCCATGATACACCTTGAAAAGCAGTGTGCATCCATGGTCACTAGATGAGAAAATATGTCCCACAATGCTTTGCAGGCACTTTCCTCACGAAGCATGATGGGATTTGTTTTGAGATTAAAAAGAATAAAGATGGCTGCAAGGAGCCACTTAACTGAGTTCACCTAAAAGTCCATAATATAGCCCCCACTCTATATAGTGATTGAGGGATTTAGGGGATAGGGTGGATGTTCGGACAAAGCCAAAAACACAGGAAAGGTGAGCCATGCTTCGCTCAAAGTCTAGAGCTGCTGATCAAAGAAAAACTGAATAAAGAAGGTGAGAGCAGAACAAACACCAGAGGCTGCAGACAGATGCTGTGCCTTATTTATAAACTTATGAAAGGGCTATAAGGAAATTGTTGCCAAAAGTGCACAAAGAACGACTCGTTAAGAATAGGTAATGATTCAGATCATGTGAGTTCTAGCTATAGGTAGGGTTGTCAAAAGTATTGATACCCAAAAAAGTATTGATACTGAAAAGATGTATCCGGATACAATACTAATTTTCAAAAGTATCGATACAGTGCTACCACCAGTGGCACCTAAACAGTCATTCATCTTATGCGCAGAATAGAGGAAAATGCACTTTCTGAACACTGTGTGATTGAATAATTCTGTGCACTTTTTAGTTTCAGACTTTTTTCTGTAACAAGTGCAGCTGCTGAGAATTATTTTTGTTTTTTAACTGGTTTGTCTGGTGTCCTTGTTACAGTACTGTAGGTTTGTAAAGCATAGCCAAGGAAGGAACAATTAATTTTAATTTTGTAACTTTTTTTTTTATCAAGCTTGCTTAATATTGTGCACAGCATACAACCTCAAAATATTGTTTATTGTATTTATTTATCTATTTATTGTATTTTGTTTATTAATGAAAAACTTTCTGTTGAATTTTGGAGTCTTTGTTTTTATCCTTGTGGTATCGAAA